GGCACCAATGCCAAACTTTTCTGTTGGCCACTGAATAAATATGGATGCTGATAAATAGGTTCTTCATCTCGGTTGAGGTCATAAAAAATTCTTGATACTTATGGAAATTACCCGGGCATTCATCTTACACAATTATGATCCCGATATCTGTATTTCGATGTAAACGTTTTCATAGTTACTAATTTATAACACATTATGCTATAAACATGCTATAAGAGCATGATTAACCATAAACCTTTGTGATCATAAATAGAAAATTAATAATTACTGTGAAAAGTTTTAAAATCTGTGAAATTTCTAAAATCTCCACAAACCCCTTCTGATAATAATCATCTCCTCACTAGTGACTGACTTCAAGAGATACTCCTGGAGTTCTAGTGAGAAGCCGTTACCAGTGGAGTTCAACCAGGTTTGTTGTGAGATATCAGCTCACTGAAGACAATGGTGTACGGTGGCGCAACTTCGTGGATTGGTTGAAGTTAGACATTAACACCATCGGATGCCGGCTCAGTGGTCTAGTTGGTTAAGCGTTTGGCGCGAGACTGATAGGTCTTGCGCTGGAATCTCGCGGGGTGCGGGATCGTGGATGCACACTGCTGAGGAGTCCCATACTAGGACGAAACGGCCGTTCAGTGCTTCTAGGTTTTCCATGATGGTCCAGCTTCAATTGACTCATGCTTTCAATCTGTGAAATTTCTAAAATCTCCACAAACCTCTTCTAATAAAGACATTTTGTTTTGATTTGTGTACAGATGCACTTTGAAATTTAATTAATGAACTGAAGGTATTTGTCGAAATACTTAAGGTTTAATGTTCGTTACTCTGCCAGACAGAATAATGATACGTTAAAATCAACTTAGATTTAAACATTCCTATTCGTCTGTGATTTTTGTCACTAGTGACTAATATTAAAATGTATGTAGTTGAAAGTTATATATTCATCCGCACTTTTATAATTGAATCGACTACCTCTAACCACCATTTAATCTCAATATATAGTGCCCGCAGTGTCGAGTCACCTAGACTGGTAGCCACATTGCAACATGATCGATAGCATTCGATCTGCACTAAAAAGGACCAGACACGCATGATATTGATCGCCACACAGTGATCAATCAATTGTGATAATTGAACAGTTCACAATTAAGAGGAACTTTTCATTCAAATAATGAAATTAAAATTTGAATAAGATAAATCATAGTGTTCATCAAATGGTATATTCATCGCCATTACATTAGATTTTGCTACCAATGTCTTAATGCAGGTTTTACCCGTTGAAACGTTTTCACTTCATTTAATTGATATAAACCTCAGAGGTATTTCAATGAATATGATCATAGAACTTGTAAAGTATATGATGATAATCTATTTAATTAGTTAATACATTCATATTTTGTAGTTATCATTCATTTGAACATCAAATAACAAGACTAAGCTTATTAAAAAAATATACAATTCCTTAATGAAACTGCTTACAGAGATTTGGATACAGTGTAGCTATTTGAATAGGATATGTTGTTCAACTCTTGATAATACTACATCAACTAACTTATTACTAATATATATGTTTGTGGTATCCCAATGATTATTATTAACTTTTCTAACCAAAGCTTAATTTATTTGAAACTATCAAGTCGGACCTTGGTACTGTTACTTAGAATACTGGAGAATGCTGGTCGGCGGTTTATGCTCCATTGTGAGTAACAAGTGCAAGTAAGTAAGTAAGCATATCAGAAAGAATTTTCTGAATTCGATTAATTAAAATAACATACTCTTTGTTAGATGATTATATAATGTACTTTTAGTTAAATGAATAAGGTAAATTCACCATAAATGTATCATGATTATTATCTGTAGACGATGTTCACATGTGAATGATTGTATTTTAGTTATCTTTTCTTAAAGTAATTTTTTGTCAAATATATCATCAGCAACATGTGTTTAGTTGATCGGTTCAGTAGTTCTCATGGTGTGCGTGAATTATTTATGTTAGTATTTTGTTTCCAATTACCAACGTCAAGGCAGTTCTACTGTACGGAGCTGAAACTTGGAGAACTACAACAACCACCATCAAGAAGGTACAAGTATTTATAACTAGCTGTCTTCGCAAGATACTCTACATTCATTGGCCGGAAACCATCAGCAACAGCTTTCTGTGGGAGAGAACAAACCAGCATCCAGCTGAAGAAGAAATTAGTAAAAGACGATGGAACTGCATCACGAGGCAAGCCCTAACATGGAATCCTTAGAAGCGGAAAAGAGGAAGGCCAAAGAACACATTACGTCGGACAATAGAATCAGATATGAAAAGGATGAATAACAACTGGAAAGAGCTGGAAAGGATTGTCCAGGACAAGGTTGGATGGAGAATTATGGTGAGTGGCCTATGCTCCTTCACGAGCAGTAACAGGTGTAAGTAAGTAAGTAAGGAAGAAAGATAAGAATAGTTAATGAATATCGTTTTTGTAATCAATTCAATTCACAAGAAGTAAACACTAATTTTAAGTTTATTCACAAAGTTAAGGTGATTTTTAACAATCATTATGTAAAATACTTCAAGAAGAATTTGTTAAGTTTCTGATGAGAAATCATGACTTAAATTTGAAGTATAAGACATCGAATATCAGGATTGATGGGAATTACCATACTAGGACGACAAATTTGTCGAGATAACAGACTGTATATAAGCAGTGCATATAAGCTAGATTCGACTAAGTGTAGAGGGATCGAAACCGAATCTCCACTATTAATAATTCCAGTAGCCTATAACTTTTTTATGTATCATTTTTGACAAATTTGTGAACATGTAGAACAAATCAGTAAGATTTTATCAAAGATAAGAAACAATTGAGTTAGTCAGTAGAACTCACTAACTTCACACGGAGTTGATCAGTCCATGTTAATACAAAACGATCATCCATTGCTTTTTGATTTTCAATGATGATCTAGCTTAGATCAACTTGTGAATTCAACTCTATATATATGCCACAATTCTGATTACCTTTGAGTGGATATTCATCATCTACTCAGAACGAACTACCGAAATTATTGATATCAGTTTTAACTCAATTACACATTAACATATTAGTCGGAGAGTTTTTTTTCTAAACTTTCTCCAAATATCCTCTAACCTAATGTCATTTCTAATGTAACTGAATGTTTCGATAATGATATTAGAAGACGAAGATTATCGAAGACGAAAATTATCATCTTCTAATATCATTATCGAAATTTATCAAAGGGACTAATTGTTTTAAATTTCTTAAAAGAAGACTCCCTGAACGTAACTGAATGTATTTTCATCTGTTTCAATGCCGTTAAACATTCATGTTTCGTTTTAACAAGTGATTTAGAATCAATTTATTTATTTAAATTTTATGCATATCTCAACAATAAAATTTATTTCAATGGTTAAGATCATGAGTCAATTGAAGTTAGACCACCATGGAAAACCTGGAAGTACTGGACAGCCGTTTCGTCCTAGTATGGGATTCCTCAGCAGTGTGCATCCACGACCTCGCCCCCCTACTCTTCAGTGATCGTCTACTCATTTTGATTGTCTATTTCATTATCATATTTATAATTTAATCTAAGATTGGCTATGAAACTGAAAACAATTTTCTCTGAGATTTTACTCATTATGAACTGTATCATGATCTGATCTCTAATCAATATGGATTTATATGAATAGTCGTTATCATATTATGCAATACCATATGATCGATTCATCTGAGTGAAATGTTACCATACAATATTGAAACAGATTTTATAACATGTCTTGACAGTTATAAAAAAAAATGATAATTTCAATGTCTCTAGTTTAATGTCACCCCCTCCCCCACTAATGTTTTATTACCAATTTCTTATTTCAGATTAATTATTGTAAAGATTTTTGGATTCTTATTTCCCGAGGGCAGATTTCGTTTGCTTGTAATTAGATTAGATGATGATTATTTAGTTTACTAATACTAATCAGTTTATGAATGTTTGCCCAGAACACAATATTTGTGATTCCGGTAAAACAAATCGACTACGGTTACTACTAAAAAAACGTTTATCAAGTGTTCAGAAGCAAATAGGGATTAAGAGACAAAACAATTTGGGTTCCATTTTCAAAATGTGATACATCACAAAAATAGGTGTCATTGAATGCCAAGCAAACACTGAATCAAATTATATAGTAATTTGAGAGGAAATTTCTTCTATACAAATAAAGTCAGTAAAAAAAAATAGAATACAGAACTGTACAATGCAGCTAGTGGGTGACAGAATGATCACTAATAAAAGAAATATGTGCATCTATCCGTTTTCAATTTCATAATATACTTATGTCAATTATGAAGATCTCCAGGGTAAGATGATTGAAAAGAGGAAATCAATAAATTCTGTGGAAATCAAGTTTTTTTCTAATAAACATTCTTTAAAATATGCCAGCTGTTATTTTGATAGAGTAAACATAACAGGTACACCCCCAAATGCCCTGGTATGGCCGAGAGTGGGGAGAATCCGCTCTCCCTCTCAATATGCTCTCATACGGCCACGCGTATACAGCCTGTACCAGGAAAGTCACACTCACTGCTCTCTCGCACCACAAGTGTTGTTTACGAAACTGAGAGGACGAAAAGCGAATGTCCAGAGCTTTAACCGGATTCCAAACCAATGGTGCACATGAACTCCAGTATCCTGCGGGAACAAACGGCGTATGAACCAACTATTGGTCACCGGCTACCATGGGACTGCATCTCCTTACAATGCTTAACTGCCTTGTGGATCAAACCTTCAGGTCGAAGGCTCGGGGAGTGGTCCTTAGAGAAAACCACCTGTTTCGGTTTGAGCACCTGGGAAGTATAACAGCCCTCACACATATCAAATGAGATTTATGTGGCGCATATGTATTTGGTGCTTCCTTGTATCAATATCTATGTGTTAAATAAATAAAAATTATAAATTATATATTTATATCATATTTTCAATGATAAAACTATACTCTTTAAACTTACATATAATCGTGGTTTATTAATTGGACTTGTGTATATGTAAAAGTCAGCAAATGTCGGTACATTAAGTTGAACTTGTAAATGTTTAATGGAATCCATCCATGACCAATTTTTTGCCATATAAAATTGTTGGGTTAAATATGGATCCCAAAATAAACGTTTTGGCCATGCTGATGTTTGATTAACTATATTAGCACCGGTTTCATTTGATGCATTTCTATCTAGTAACCATATACCATTTAGAAGTGGTGCCACTTTTGTCATTAATGGATGTGCACCAAGCCAATTTCTTAATGAAGTAGAAGAACATGAATCATAAAATTGAGCAACTTTATATTTAGCTGAATTATATTGTCCATATGAATTACTATAAATATTACGTAATGAATTAATAATTGCATGTACATTAATTTCAGTTAAATGTTCAATCATAGGTCGATCAAATCTTAACATACGTCGACTTCGACCACTTTTAAAATAATCTTGTATAGTATCTTTACCAAAAGCGCTTGCAACAATACGATGAGCTTGTACAACTGGTTGTTCAGCATTTTGATTTGGATGAAATGGTGAATAATAAGAACCGCATGCAAATTGAAAAAAATTTTCACATGGTAATATTGTTTTATTCATATGTGCAATAATTGAACTAGAAGATATTAAACATTCTTTTGTATAACATTGATTATGACTTTTCCATAATTCATTTTGTTCACGTTTCCAATAAACTAATACTAATATAAACATAATAAGTAATAAAATTGGTCCAATAATTGAAAAGAAATATTGAAACCGTTTAAATATATCATTTAATTGATTACTATGATTTACAGGTATTTTACGTTGTACTGAATCAACCAAAGATGTTTTCATATTATTTACACGTTCCCATAAATAATGCTTTTTATCCATAGTTATTTGAGGTGTATTAACAATGGAAATACCTTCAGTATTATCACTAAATACTTGATATTTAAAATTTTGTCCAAGATTTAAAGAATTTGTTGGTGAAATAGATTTAGTATCAGTGGATGTCATGTTTAAAGACAATTACAATTGTTGGTATTTGATGAGTATAGATTTTTTTATAAGGAAAATGTAAGTTATCAGTATACTCAATGCTGATAATCGCCGGGTACTGTTACTAGGATAACAAAAATATTAATCATAATAACAGAATTAATGTTTATATATACTACTAATTTCCAGCACTATGTGTGTACTCAGAATATGCTTATGATATGTGCAGACTTGCAGACTTAAACATACACACACACACATAAACATGTACACATATATTTTGATCAGTAATATTATTTAGAGTCAACAATCGTTTGTGTGCAACAATGTGAACACTCTGATTGGTTAATGTAATTGACTCGAAAATGAATAATGATAATTGTGATCAACAACAACAACAACAACAACAACAACTTTTGAGTTGTATATCTAATCCGAATATCATTAATTATTTAAATGAGTTAGTCTACAATCAACAACAATCAGCAAGAAAGACAGAAAGAGAGAGAGAGAGAGAGAAAAACACACACAAAAAAACAATTTTTTTCTATCATAAACCCAGGAACCAACTAGACAAATCAACCATCATTAACAAGTTGACTTTGTACGACTTTTATTCTAATCACAATCATCTTATACAATACATGTTACATATATAAAGTAGTAATTTATTCATTTAGAGCAGCGATATGACGAAATAATGAAAGTACATAGATTAGCAATTCAGTTTATGAAAATACACAAAAAACGTTTTTTGTATTTTATGAAAACTACTAGTGTAAAGTTTAAGCTTAACCCATATGAAACGGTGATTGTTTATACATTAGAAATTGTATATCATGGATACTTCTATTAATCGAATAGAACTAATTAGTCTAAGATATTGTTTTCATGCCAGTGTAGCAGCAGCCTTAGCAACAGTAGGTTTTAATATACACAAAGGGAAAAGCAAGATTCTCCGATACAACACAGTATACACTAATCTAATCACAATTGATGGAGAAGATTTGGAATATGTAAACACCTTTACAATATTCGGGCAGCATCATTGATGAACATGGTGGATCTGATGCAGATGTGAAAGCGCAGATCAGTAAAGCAAGAGTAGCATATTTACAATTGAAGAACATCTGGAACTCAAAAAACAACTGTCTGTCAACCAACACCAAGGTCAGGATTTTCAATACAAATGTCAAGACAGTTCTACTGTATGGGGCGGAAATCTGGAGAACTACGAAAGCCATCATCCAGAAGATACAGGTATTTATTAACGATTGTCTACACAAAATACTTCGGATCCGTTGACCGGATACTATCAACAACAATGTACTTTGGGAGAGAACAAATCCGATCTCAGAGAAGGAAGAAATTAGTAAGAGTCACTGGAAGTGGATAGGACACACATTGAGGAAAGTACCCAACTGCACCACAATACAAGCCCTCACATGGAATCCTCAAGGCCATTGTGGGTGAAGAGGAAGAGCAAAGAACACATTACGCCGGGAAATGGAGTTAGACATGAGAAAAATGAACAAGAATTGGATGGAACTAGAAAAGAAGGCGGAGGACAGAGTGGGTTTTAGAATTCTGGTCTGCGGCCTATGCTCCATTATGAGTAACAGGCGTAAGTAAGTAAGTAAGTAAGTAAGTAAGTAAGTAAGTAAGTAAGTAAGTAAGTAAGTAAGTAAGTAAGTAAGTAAGTAAGTAAGTAAGTAAGTAAGTAAGTAAGTAAGTAAGTAAGTAAGTAAGTAATTGTTTTCATGAAGTATTCGTTTACGATCTGTGTCGAAATTTTCTAGTTTGATGTAGTTACATATTTTTTTTATAGAAGGTTTACAATGACCATTGAAAATCATTTACAATATACTTTGAAAAATTTTTAAAACTGATAAATGACTGATGAATAGTGAGCTCTAGATAGTTATTTGATTCTCCTATTGGAATTTAGAATAGTATACAGGGGCAAATTTTGCAGGGTGTCAACCAAAAATCTATAGGTCTGTTAACGATCATGTTAATGCAAAAGCAAAACAAAAACGAAATCTATTGTTTCATACTAGGTTATAGAGGTTTATGCAACACGTTTAGTCAGAAAAGTTGAAACAGAAGAAAGAAAACCTTGGTTTAAGGCTTTTCACTGAATGGCATTCATTCACAACGAGGTGTACTTGTAATTTCGAATGGATTGATGCTCTATAGTGGATATGAACTCATGTTATTGTGTTTCATAACCTGAGCTATTCAGATCGCTACTAACCCCCTGTAGGACTTAGATATTTGTAATTGATTGATAACGAAATGGTGACTATTGTCATATTTAACTAGTCTAATAACAAATACTGCTTGATTCTTTATGAAATACATTTTTAATGGAGTAGAATTACACAGAGATTACGTTTATGCATACTGCTTAAGCTAGAAATTCCCTTGAATATACTATTGTACAAACTGTGTAATTTTATTTACTTTCAATCAAAGTGTAAGGAATCAAATATCTTTCTTTAAAACAATATTTCTTGTAATTACCTACTTTTCTTTATTTTGACCTACATATCTATATTATGGTAAAAATATGGATATTATGTAATTGATTTAAGTTGGTCAACTTATATTAAGGTTATTTCATGTCATTTTCTTAAATCAATTGTCTAATCATATTGAAACTCAATAACAGAATTGAGATGTAAACTTAAAAGTTAGGGCATCGTAGGCAAATGCCTTTCAGTAAGGAAAAATCAAATTAAATGATAAAGTTGTGTATACATTTTGGAGTATTACCGGTAAAAAATGAGCTAACGACATGAAGTGTTATCATATATATATGAAATATACTCACAAACACATATGAGTTCATGCCCTCAAATGCCCTACTATGGCCGAGAATGGGGTGGGCCCGCTCTCCCTCTCGAAATGCTCTCACATGACCACGTTATACAGCTTCAGCCAGGGAAGTCTTACTCACTGCCTTCTCGTGGCATTACTGTTGTTTACGAAAATGAGAGGACGAAAAGCGAATGTCCGGCGCTTTAACCGGATTCCAAACCAAACCAATGGTGCACATGAACTCCAGTATCCTGAAGGAACAAATGGCGTATGAACCAATTGTTGGTCACCGGCTACCATGGAACTGCATCTCCTTACGATTCTCCACTGCCTTGTGGATAAACCTTAAGGTCAAAGGCTCGGGGAGTGGTCCCCTAAGAAAACCACCTGTTTCGGTTTGGGCACTCGTGCAGTATCACAGCTCTCACACAAATCGAATGATTTGTGTGGCGCATATGTATTTGGTGCTTCCTTGTACCAATATCTATGTGCTAAATAAATAAATAAATAAATAAATGAGTTCATAATTATATATAAGAGTGAGTTAAAGGGACAACTGAGATTGGAATCCTATGCTCTTATCTCATATCACCGTTGTATGCCGGCTCAGTGGTCTAGTTGGTTAAGTGCTCGTGCGCGAAACCAGTAGGTTCTGGGTTCGAACCCCGTGGGGTGAGGGATCGTGGATGCGAACTGCTGAGGAGCCGCATACTAGGACGCAACAGCCGTCCAGTGTTTCCAGGTTTTCCATGATGGTCTAACTGCAACTGATTCATGATTTCAATCTGTGAAATTTCTAAAATCTCCACAAACCCCTTCTGACATATCATTGTGACAATTCCTAAAAAGATAAGTGTACAGAACAACAGAAAAGAGTAAAATTATTAATCTGTCTAGAAATTAGAAAAATATTCCTAGTCCGACTGATTCACTGTAAATAAACATCTCAAGATTTACATTGTCTTTATCCCAAGTATGATGACAATAATGTGTCTATTGTTTTGATTTCAAGGCAATGGAAGTTATCAAAATAATGTTTGTCTATATAAAGATGAAGGCTATTTTTTAAAGTCTATTATCCAGTCTTTACATTTTAATAACTTTGGTGTTATCTAATCAGTTAATATCTACGTTGTAATATGATCTCCTAATCAGTATTGAAATATCACTATTAATTGATATTCATTAACTATACATAATAACTTAGCTTTCTTCACTTCAACTCTGAATAGGGATGTTTTATCCAAAGCTTCTATAAGTAAAATTGAAATATTAAATAACAGGATAACAGTTTATTTTATAATTACCAAAATCAAAGATATTAAGTTCGTTTCCAAATTGTTTTGAATGTTTATACTACTGTGAAGATTCAAATTAAAGTGAATGTAAAAAGTCTTTATTCATCATAGTTGATAAGTCTTGCTGATTGGACGCTATATTCGTTCCTAAGCTATTCTGATAACCTGCACGCTAGAACTATACAGCGACATGAACACCAGAAAGAGACGCTTTTGTACAGAAAACATGGGTATTTATAGATGTTATCATTTGTTAAATCGACATCATATTTCGGCCAATTTGTTAACGACATATTATGCTACCGACCAATAGTAGCACGCCACATTGTAACTCTGGAATGCTCCATCATGCTCTGATTGGCTAGGACTATTCGGCTCCTTTTGAGCCTCTAGAGGCTTTGTTGAAGTTCCCCGAAAGCCGACTCAACAATGGTGTTATGCATTTTAAATTAAATGAACATTGAAGAAGAAATTCACATTAAGAAGGATGATTTATAAATTCTTCATAAAGTCAAACCAAAATCAATAAAGCCAAGTGTTTCCCATAAATCAACAAATAATAGTTATAACCACATCACACACCTTTCGTTTGTTTCGTACTCTACTGATGTATAACTCCGCCTGTAGCTCTTCTAGAGTTACTGCCGGTCCCAAGCCCGGGTAAAGGAGGAGGAGTTGAGCATGGGGTTAGCGTCCCCATCCCGTAGAAAACTAACTCGCTAAAAAAACGCTTACCAGAAAAAATAATTCAAATCATTTTAACTCTGCCCTGGGAGTTAGAAGGTCTTCATTTAGAAGAACTATGACGCTTCATGGTGAAAGCCGAGTTCCTTCGGAATCCACGAAGCCGATGCCCCTTCTAACAACCAAAGCAAACTTTTTGTAGGTACATAAAAC